CTCCTTCCCATTCCATCCGGCATGACTTATAGTGGGATTTCACCACAGTAAAATTTTCTCAGTATTCTTCCGAACTGGAAAACTCTCATACTGTGCTGTTACGATGTTGACTCACTAGAGTGATTGCTTTCCTGCTGCTGCTCAGTAAATCAGGCACTTACAACTAAGACAAAGCAGAAGTACCCCAGTCTCTGGAGGTCAGTTCTGCTAGTTTGATTGTTAGCCCTTATTTTCTTGTGATATATTTTGTACGGCACATGAACATACAACTACTTTTCTTTAGAAGACCAACTTGTTGAAAGCCTATGTAATGAATATAGCAGTAATTTAAGCATGGCTTTTAAACGTAGAAATTAAGGTGCTCTATTTTGTGTACAAATCTTTGCTGGTTTATTGAAATTGAAGCCCTGAGTTATTTATGAGAAAATACTACATTGTTTCATAGCTTTGTAGTATCCATTGATTTTTACTAAACAACTTAATTCTTACTCAAATTACTGCTCGGTTGCTACTGTCCTCTGCCTTCAGTTCATACCCTTGTTCCTACTAAATATAAAACACTGTTAAGTGTTCCTATGAAAATATGAATTTTTTCTCCCCTCCACTCCATTTCTAATATGTTTTTTTTTATTTGCTGTCACTTCTCGGAGATGTTCAGAGCAAAGAGTATTGTTGTATTCCAGAAATGGATAAGGACATAACTTTATATCTAGGCAAGTGACCTGATCTTAATCTCAGTCTGAAAGCAGTGAACAGGTAACCCTCAGGGAGGCAATGCAGCAGCACTGGAGGCACAACTGCAGCACGCTGTAGCAAAGATGCCGTTTAAACTTGGATTATGTGTGCTTGGCAACTCTGGTATATACTCAAAGATCCCCTCACAATATTTATAGTTTGTAATGACACTCATACCACTGTGTCTTATTTTTTTGAAGCTAGTCAGCCTACAACTTCCCAAGGCACAACAACATGTGCTCTGACCTACCTTTGATGTGGTACAGACCTACCCAAACTTCTCATGACCACCAAAGTGCTCATTCTGGCAGGTTTCCACAAGTCTAACTAAACTCCTATGCACTAGGCTCAATTCCCTTTCTACAAAATGTTTAAACTATACTAGGCATCATATATGGCCTCTGAAGGCTGTCAGGATAAAATACTAGTATTTCTAGAAACTTCCAAATGGTACACAATTAATATGTCATTAATACAGCCTTGTACTGGGCCCCTGTAGAATATACGTGTGGTGTGTATTTTCAAGGAAGACAATTACTGTAGGAATACCCATATGAGGGTATATATGTCACCACTGTCTACTTGAAGCTTACGCATTAGGCCGTCTAGGTCATCTGCAGCCACTGCATTGCTGCAAGTGCTTTGAATCAAATATGCTTGACAACATAGCCTGAGAGCAGACAAAATGAACTATGATTCAAAAGAAGTGCTTGCTCGATGCAATGGTAAATCATGGTCAACTATTTTGATCTTGGTTGCCTTAGTAGTGGGAAGTGTTGAGAGACGCGTTCCATTTCTCAGTGTTTAGAAGCTTTGTTTAACTTGTCCATCAGTGGGCGTAAGTGCTGCTGTATGTAAGGCTTTCAGCATACAAAGGTGCAACTGAAACACATAGTTTAATACCTTGCTTCTCGGACAGCAACAAAGCTGACTGATAGGCCTCGTTCAGCCCCAGGAATCCATTTCAAAACATAACAGATAATCACGTGCTCTTTGAGACAGTCTGTGTTCACCTGGTGCCATGGTTCCTATTTAAATCAATAAATGCAGGAATACTCTGACTGCTTCTGTAGTTTGTCTCCTGTCTGAGCTCACTAGGTGAGTAATTTCATAATGCGTTTCCTCCTGTCCATCCTTTATGACAAGTGATAAGGAAAAAAAAAAGAATTACTGAAAATATTCTCCAGCTACCCTCTGCTTAGACTTTTTATGAGAGTGCATTTGGGAGGGAAGCTGGTGTTCTGAACCACCAGTGTTCAATAACATCACGTATCAGCGGGCTGTCTGTTCTTTGTCTCCTTGGCTATCTTGTCCCTTGGGCTCTTCCTCTTTTAGACGTGCCAGCAAATTTGTTTGAAAGGAATTGGGTTAGGTGTTAACAACTCAAGGAAAACCACACAAAGTCAGAAGGTGGTATTTTCTTTAGCTGCTTTTGATATAAATATTCTGTGTTTTAGCATTTGATGGACCCTTGTCAGGCACACTTGACGAATTTCAAAGTCCATTTTAAGTGGTCAAAGCATCCCTAGCAAAGACAATTTTGTGCTTTGTCTAACCTTCCTTACACACTGCAAGTACCAGCAAATGATGATGTTCCTTGCACCGCACTCTTGAAACTATCTCAAGTTAGATTTGAGCCTGTTTGCCTTTATGAGTAGGATGTAGGGACGTTCTAATGCAGCTCTAAAAATCCAGCTTCCATGCTAATGAAGTAGAATGGCAATAAAGCATTTTTTGGCTTTTTATTTCTTTTTTTTTTTTTTTTTTGGTGGGGGCAGGGGGGGGAAGGGAGATCTAATCTCCCTGGCTGAAGAGGAACACCAGAAGCTTTCCTTTGCTTCTGAAAGCTCAGGTTCAAAACCAGTTACATTCTCAACAGGAGCCCAGGTTTCTGAACACCCATACTTTCTTTTGTGTGCACTTTTCATTAAGTTGGCAATCTGTTCTTGTTCTATCTATGTGATGAAACAATAAAACAAAGACTGAGTTGAATGCTTCCTTTCTTTTCATGATTTTAATGTCTGCTGGAAGGTTTCCTTTAGCTCTGAAACAGATTTTTGCCTGCTACAATCATTTTGTTCCGGTTCACATTGCAGGAATCTATGACTAAGCAGGTACCCAGGAAACTTCCAAGTATCTTGTACACTATGCTTCCAAATTCATCTACATACCATATGTAGAAAATGGAATGTACAACACATTTTTTCCCTTTTTTTTTTTTTTAAAGCATTTATACTGTCTCCTGCAAGACGAGTTGCCTTTTTTTTTCCTTCTAAAAAGACAAGAGGGGTAGATGGACACTTCGTGTTTCAACTCAGTCATGCATGCTTGCTGCTTTTATGCTTCCTTTCATTAACTCTCTCAAGGTTTGGCACAACAAGAGCATTATATAAGACTAAATAATTCTTACATAAATCTGAGTGAATGCCTTTCATGAAGTACTGGGTGCTTATCATGGCTATAAGTAAAAATGAATCACTTCCTTTTTAAACGGGAGCTTTAAACCTTGTATTTTATGTAGTTAATTGCCACAAGCCAAAATAACCTTTTGAGCTCTATGAATTTTCACAGCTGCAGACTGGAGGAAAAAAAACCCCACACTGATAAATAGAAACTTAATAATTTCCAAAAGAAATTATTCCCCACTCTAACTGCCTCTTTTAGCACAAAGCCCAGCTCATTTTTGCCAGAATGTTAAATGCTCCTAGCACGTGGTTGTAGAGCCAAGAACCAGAGTATCATCGAAAGGATAGCATGACAAAGAATAAAGCAAGGACAGTATGAATTTGACACTTCAAGAACAGCACGGAGAACAGTCGAGAGGTCAGGAAGCATACATAATTAAGCTGTTGCTAGAGGCTAACAGATCGAGTAGGTTCAGGGCACAGCAGTCCACTAACAGAATCATGGAAGACTTTTGACGTGTTCCTATATCTATAAACAAATACAGGGATGTACCTTGTGCATGCTTTTAAGTTAAGAGAATAAATATCTGTCTTACAAGGCAAGATTAGTGTTTGGAATAGGAATCAGCAAATTGGGAACCTAGTTGGAAAACTGGGAGACAAGATAATTTCCAGTCTCCTTGATGAAATAAGTGAGAACTAGTACCGGGAAAGGTCAGTGGCTGCAGAAACAGTATTGGGACTGCAGTCATAAAACCCAGTTATGCTGGAGAAGAATGCTTTGGCCTGTCACCCTCCTCCACTATGGGCTGGTTACCTCCTGGTATAAGAGTGAGTTCCTTGCTTCAGTGAAGACAAGCAAGAGCAGGAGCGAAGGACCTGGCGTTGGAAGAGGAAGTTTGCATAGGGAAGTAGTGGGCTGGCAGTAGGAAGACTTGGAAAGAAAAGCAAGGTTGAAGGTCAGAAACCCACTGGCCATCATGTTAAGGAAGAAGCAGAAGGAAATACTGCGAGAGAAGCAGAGAGAAATATTTGGTAAATATCAAATGAAGCAAACAATCTCTCCACTGACTGGTAAAGAGGACCTAAGCTGGGGAGAAAGACAAGGTTAAAATATTCTGCTAAAACAGCCCGATAAATCATCAAGACAGAAACTGGAATCCCTTGTTGGCAAACACAGGAACAAGAAGTATGGGATACAGTCAGTATATTGAAAGACCAGTGGATGGCAGCGTATTTTTACTACCAAAATACTGGGTTATCATGCCACATGTTTTGGTTGTAGCTCCTCTGCTGACTAATACATCACATGTCCCAAGAACAAACCCATGTTTGATAAGTTGACACAAGCTGCAAAGATTTGTGCAGCGTTCATATTTCTCTAAGACAGTGGCGACCGCTGTTGTAGCTGTCCCACACTGAGTCATCTGGGAGATGAGCAGCATGTTTTACAAGGATAGGAGCAAAAGGCACAGCATAAGAGTGAGAGAGAACAATGAGGATCACATCCTGGGACCTAGCTGTATGCACCTTCTAAGAGTTTATCAGAATATTTCAGGAATAAAAACTCAGAAGGCTATGCCCAAGGAATCACCTTAGTGTATTACTTCTGATAAGCTTGGGACTGAGACCACGCTAAGTTATTGTTCTGCTGTGAAGCTGATGATTTTTTCTCAAGTTGGGAATAATTTCTCTACAACTTACAGAATTTTCCTGAGATATAAAATTATGTATGAAGAGAAAAACTGAGTACCAATGCAGGCCGTAGCATAACACCCATCCAACCAAAACCTGGTGTGCATGAAGTAGTTAAAGGGAAGACTTATTTGCTAATTAGAATTCAGAAAAAAAACACATTACTGTTGCTTACCGTATTTATTCACTCTAAGTGGAAAAAACCTGACAAGTCATAATGGATTTGACTCATTACCATACGCACTGTCTATATTCCCTGTTCACATAAATTCCAACTGAGAAAGAAAAATATACATTTTAAAAGAACAGTTTATAAATTCATTTGATAAACAGATTTCCAATAAACATGTGAAAGCTAGAAGGAAAGGTTTTTCAAGACTTCTCTCTCATGTTTTCTGAAGCAAAACACTTAACGTAAAGTACACCTGACATCGGACTTCCATACACCTCAGAGGTTTTCTATGTAGTCTTCACTAAAGTGTACTTACTAAATGTTTCACAGTACCAGAGCATGAGTTCCTCCATCAGCTTTAAAACCTGTGAACTAGATACTCACTGTAAACAATGCTTCTATAAAAAGGACAGTTCAAATACAAAAAAAGAGGGCATTAGCAGTCAAGTTTCTTTGGGAGATAGTACATTGCATTTGGTTCTGACTTTCTTACAAACAGCAGCAGACAAAAAGCATGGTAATCACTTCTATTATTTGAAGCTCTTCAGTTTTAAGAGCATTTGTAAAAACAGGTCCAATTATAACAAACTGATATTTGCATAATTAACTTTGAAACAAAGCATTTTGTTAGTGATAAATGCATTAAGAGCTGAAATGTATTAAGACAAGCTATTCTGTTTGTCAACTTGTCAGATACGTGTGCTGAAGCTTCCCCTTCTAATTACAAGATGTTTAGTACAGCACAACAGATATTTTAAAATTAATATAGAAGCTGGAATGTTTTTTCAGTTGTAGCACACCACATCTGAGAAGATTACCATGACAAAACATGAAAAGGAAAGAGGACCGAAAGTGATGATTTATAGACGTTCTAATTTTTCACTTAGAAATTCTTCCACACTATCTGTATTCCACTTGAGGATGCTCAGTTCTTCTGCAATGTTCCCACTGTCGTCCAGCAGCTTTAGTACAGGGTCAGAACCACGCACATACTGCAGGGAAAAAAAGCCAAAGCGTCAGTTACCTTGGGCTGGGAAATGCATTCTTCATATTAACACTTCTCCCCCGCCCTCCATTTGATTTAGATCAGTTAAAAAGATGTCAAAGCAAGAACAGTAAAAAGTCCAAAGGGTGACACCATGAAGTATGAATACTTAAGAACAGAGCACTAAATTAAATGGGAGTATTCTGGGCAAACTTTGGCAATACAATTTGTGCTAAGAAATCAACCTAAGCTTTGGCTTTTTAAAGCTCAGAATTCATAAAAAACAAACAGACAAGCTTGGTTGTTCCCGACAATGCTCGATGCTATAAGTATTCCAGTGCCACGTATTGTGTTCTGATTTTATGAATTTCATTACTAGAGTGTTTAACAACAATGTGTTCTACTTTTCTTGAAGAAAACAGATCTATAAAAATCAAATTAAGCTTGTGAGATCAGTCTTTCAGTGTGTTCTCTCCTATGCTGCTACCTCCTCTCCTCCAATATTTTTTCACCTACTGTCCAGACTCAAAGGAGAAGTAGTTGTTCCAAGCTAGTTTGTGTGCATGTTGTGTATGCAAAGGAAGAGCCGGTAAGAGGGGAGACACCATACTGAAGCTTTAAAGGCAGAGATATGCTGTAGGTTGCACGCTCCACCAGCAGCAGCTGGCCGGTGTTTGCAGTTCTCGATTAGATGCTTTCTTGCCTAGTCCTAAGGAACGAGGGGGCAAAGAAATGAAGGAAGCGTAAGGGACAGAGAGACCTCATTTCACAGGAAATTAAAACACATTAAGAGCAGTAAATGCTCATCTTGAGATCCAGAACAGAGTTACTTAAGTAAAACAGGTAGGAAACAGCTTCAGTTCAGGCTTCTGACTTGCATTTAATGTCAAAGAGAGGGAAGTGGAGGAACAAGTCAAATAAAGAGAGGGGGAGGTGTGTGAGAAACATCTACTGCTTGTTCTTGGCCCACTACAGAAGCTAATGCACATGCAGGGGAGCAGTGCCAGAAGCCTAGCTTTGAAAGATGGTATCCTCCTTCAACTGTTTTAAAGTTACTGAAGTTGGATTTCTGAATCAAGCAGCTGAATGATTTTTCTCATATAATCAATAGCCTTTTTAGCATTTTAGAAATTTCCAGTCACTTTAACAGCTCGAAGTTCTACTATCAATTTCTAACATAATCATATTCTTTCCTGCTGTGTTGAATCTGTGCCTACTAGGCTTTGCTGGTAACATAATACTTTAATGCTTCTAAAGACTCACTAAGGTACCAAACACGTAATGCAAATAAAAGCTTTTAACAGTATTAGAAGGCTCTAACCATTTAAGTTTATGGAAGGATTTCCCCAGGAGTGTTTTACTTTACCCTACTGAGCTAACCTAGTTTGTTTTATTTAATGAAGCTAGTAGCATCTCTAATCAGTTTTCCAAAAGTCTTATAAAATAAAAACCAGATCTATTTGCACTAATTTTTTTCTGGTAGTGCTCTGTACCAATTGTAGTCTAGACTGCTTTGATGTTCAATACAGCTATAAAGTTTAAAATAAAAATGAAACAGTCAGACATGCAGGAGGAGAGAAAGCTTTTGGAATAAATCAGAGGACACAGAGAGGGACATGAATGCATGAGACAGACAAAGGAAATCTGTTTTAGATGGAATCTGCTGCTGAGAAGACAAATCACTTATTGCAGCCATGCATAGCTATGAAGTGATTCCAGATGGTGCCATTTGGTGAATAGAGATGGGAGCACAAGATGTGAGAATCAAGATGTATATCTGTGAAGTACGCTGGAAGTTCACACAGCATTTTAAGAGGAAGGTGAAGTCAAACCAAATAATTGTTTCAGCTTAAGGCAGTGCAGCTTATGCAGCTTTGCATATATGCAAGTCATTAGAAATACCATTCAGTATATGCATTTCTATAAAGCTGGATGTTTGAAGACTATAAAGGAAAACAGAATCATAGAACACAGCAAGGAAATTCTGAGAGGGAGTAGAAAAATCTAAGAATCACTGATGTTTGGAAATGACAGCTCCATCAGCAAATGAGGGGAGAACAGAACAGGATAAGAGGAAACTAGGGCATAATAAGCTTGAGTAAATCCAAGATATCTACAGACTAAGGACAGAACGCAAGCATTCCTCACATTCTTTTGCCATCTGCTATTACTTATGGGATCCAGTATATTTTTTTCTTGGATTAAAAACAAACAACAACAAAAAACCCCAAACCCCCAACAACAACAACAAAGAATTGGTACCAAACAGTTACTGAGCAATAACCCAATTAACATTAGCGGCAGGAACTTGTAAAGATTTATACTGGCAATGCAAATATATGTCCTCTGCTAAAGGATTACTTGATCAGCAAATACAGAACAGTCCACAGAAGGACTGCCTCCAACAAGCTTAATTCTTCTTAACATCCCAAATAAAAAAGTTAGACTACTACTCACCTTGATTTGCAGTCCCCTGAAGAGTTTTGGCTTATCGCTCCTGACAAAAGCTATGGTTTGGAGAAAAGAAAGAAAGATAATCAAACTCTTCTCCACTTCCATAAAGTAGATTTACATTCAAGCTAGTATTCCCTGAATTATTTCTTTTTGGAGTGATGCTTTAGAAGGTATTTTAATGTTAAAATTCTTAATATCCTCACAAAATCAATACTACTAAACCTGCTATGCCTAAGGAACACGCTATTTTTGCTAGTATTCCAAACAAGCTTCATACCTGCTTGGATTTTCCTCAAACACTACTGCAACTGTCTAAATCAGTTTATCTGCACGTACAACTGACAGGCTTCAGTAGACTGGCCCATATGCTGCTGCAATACACAAATGTGAAGAAGAGCGTTAGAGCAATCAAAATCTGGCTGAAGATAAGCTTTGTGAGGGAGGCTACATACAACACGCACCCCATCAGCACACTCCACACAAGCTGCCGCAGCGCGGGTGAAAGGGCACAGAGGAAACCGTGGGTAGAGGTGTTATTCTTGCAAACAAGATGGACAATCTTCTCTTGCAGAGATATCCGAGATTACATGTTGAAAAACCAGCAAGAAACCAAGAACAGAAAACAAGAAGAGAAGCTGGTATCTTCTATTCTCCTGACACTCCTAAAGGCAATCAGCATTAAGATGGACTTTATGGCCTGTCACGTAGCTACAAGGACAGAAGTTCAGGTCTGAGGTGGGCTGCTGCTGAACAATTCTTCGCTGGAAGCGCTAGTCAGCAAACAGCAAGCATTAATAGCAGCATAGTCCCTGTATCCCTACAGCACAACCCAAGCCTTGTAACATTAACTTTAAAAAGAAGAGACGATATGAATTATTTCAAGACAAAGTGTGAGCATAATCCCCTACTTCCAAACACTTTAGCCTAATGAATGTCTGAGTTCTAGAAGTATTTAAAATTTATTTAGAAAATAGCATAGTCTACATTCAGGCTATGCTGAAGGCTGATTTTGGTATCTGTACTGCCTTTAAGTGGATTCAGGACACTCCTGCAGCATGTCAGTAGAGTCTCCCCAAGGATGAACCGTCAGTACGGATTGACTCTTACAGAGGTACTAGCTGCATGTTAAAGCTGCTTTTTCAAGGTTAGACAACAATGAGTCTCTCACAAATTGCGGTGCATCCAGCTGGTGCACGGAGACGAGTGCAACCTCAGGACGAATGTTTCATTCTGCCTCACAAAGTGTAGTGTTTTCCACAGTAATTGTAAAGATGTCCCCTGGCATCTTTGTACCTAGCCTTGTATTACCGTAGATGGCTACCTTACCACTTTCTCAGTATGTATATACTCAGTGGCATTTATTTGCTTCCCTCTTCCACTGTGCTCCTGCTACAGATCAAAATCATATACTCTGCTTGCTGCACCAACCACTAAACAAGTTGAAAAAATACCAATGGCCCATGAGCGGGCTGCCAGATATACTAGACCCCTGAAGAAGAAAATAAGGCTTGTTTTCATTCTTTCTATAGAACTGTACACTAATGACATATTGTAAGCTGTACTTGTACAACAATTTCAAATAGCACTAAATAACCAGTACTTGTTCACATACTGCAGTTCAATTCTGATCTAAACTCAAAGACATCATTTTCAACTTCAGTGTTTCCCACGTCCTTGTGACCTGTCAGTTGTCTTGGCTGTCGCCAACAGTAACATGCAAAAAAAGTGGCAAAGATATTTCTTATTCTTTGTTAAGTCCACAGCACATTGAACTATTTCATGGGGAACTTTTCCACTTTTTTTTCAATTTAAATCTAAAGCTGAAATCAGTCTCTAGGGCTTTACATGAAAAGGAACTGTAAGAAGCAGTCAGTAGTACAGCGGGCAACTTTAATTGCAAAACTTAAAGAAAAACTGTAAGAGCACAGTAAAATGGATAAAGTTTCAGAAGCAAATCTGAACTGTGGAACTCCACTGTACTAAAGAATAGCCTTTGGGGGTTAACTCAGGTTACAGCACTTTAAGCTCGTAACAGGTATGAGGATTTGTTCCTTGAGTGACAGATGAAAGCTCATTTGGACATGAGTGGCTGTTCTCTGGCTGCAGCGTTGGACTGAACAGGCTCGCATAAAATGGGAACAGAATTAGGTGGAAGAAGAAAGTATTCTGTAGGCAGTATTACATTTTGTCACTTTAAAAGTAGCTATTACACACTTGTATCAATGTCAAATGTCTAAATCTTCTGAAAGCTGAAGCACTACAGAACGCTTTTCCTGAAATTTTAGACAGCTGGAACAAAATTGGTTTCTGTTAATGGCATATTTATTTCTAATGCTGATCATAGTGACTTTCTGCATTAGTCACTTGAATTTGCAATGCAGTAGAGAAAAACACTCACTGTACAAATAACTTAATTTGTACATTCTCGATTTTGGAAGCTAAAGTGAGAAACTAATATACTGACGTGCATTAAAAATACAGATTATCCCATCAAACACTTTCTTTTTTTTTTCCTTTCCATGAAATCATGCCCTAAGTTGAATAACCAGCCTTTGAATGGAATTGATGGGGTTAGGAAGTCAGATGCAGCTACAGTGCACATTTTGGGACAGGTGGCTGCTTGCTTATCATGGGATGTGGTGCACATGCTCCACCTCCAGCACTGCCCCAACAGTTTCCCCTCTATACCCTGACACCAACATTGTTGCTTCCTATGATCCTATGTCTGAAGGCTACCTGCAAGTCTTTACACCGCTATTTAATAGTTTGACATTAAATACTAAAATCCCAGCTATCTCCCCATTTTCCTCTCCCTGCAGCAGCTTTAGAAATTACACACTGAAGAGAAACAGGCATTTATATAATCTAACCATGGGTGAGCGAGGAAGGCATTTTCCACTTTGACTTCCGTAAGATGAACTCTGAGCTTGGTGCCATGACACCATGTTCTGGTGAATTAAACATCAGACTAGAAGTCAGAGCTGTTCTGCTGCCAGCTTTGCAACTGTCCTTTCACATAATGTTAAGAAAATTACTTCACCTTATGCTCTTATACAACATGTGCAATACCAAAGCATATGCCTTCCCTTTGAAGGCAACCCTGAGGTGAGCCTACAGAGCAGACTCGATTGCCATGCAATCAATGACAACTAAAAGGTCAGAGAAAAAGATCAAGTGTGTATGGGCATTTTAAAGCCTGCCCAGCGCCAAACTGTTTTGCAAAGAGAGGTAATACTGAACAGTGCTTTTAAAGACCTAAGAGCAGCCTCTGCCTGTGAACACAGTAGAATGGAGAAATTCACTGCTATCGTTACAATGTCACTTTGCTTTGATATGTAACGCCTCTTTGTTTTGAGAAAGTCTGTGAAAACTAGTCTGTTGGAATTAAAGCTTAGAGTCCTAAGTGGAGATTACTAAGGAATCTAAGAATCACTCATGCCCTCACGGCAAGTCTATGTATACACATGCACATACCTGCACTATTCTCTGAGGTACAGTAGGATATACCACAAGAAAACTTCCTGACCCAAAATGGACATGATGCCACATCTCTCCATGCGGAGTTGCAGATATGCTAGGCATAGCTTCTTTGTTAACAGAGTTGACTACCTACTGTTAATATACTAAGGGCATGATCCAGACTACCAAGGATATCTACATTCAGGAATATTCACATTACTTAGATTCCTGTTTTAGGAGCAAAGGTCTCCTGCTTGATCTGTAACTGAAAAAATACAAAATGGTGTTGAGAAAAAAAAATAAACTTACCTCTTAATACTTGAATGACAGCCAATATACAACAGCAGTAAAATCTCACACTAGTTTTCAGACGACTACGCACACAGACAAGCATTTTTTAACCTTGTCTGTCTCTACATGCATCAGAAGGATTATAATGGCCTCAAATCAGAAAGGCCTGGAGCAGATTGAAAAACGTTACTGTCTCTATTATATCAGTTTCAGATTTTAATGGCAGAAAAGCACAAGTCAGAGCTAGTCAAATCTTCAGCACAAGGTCAGCAATGAATTTTTACTGCACAATTTTTCCTCCTGGTAAGCTACAACATGTCTTTTAGCGAGAATCTAATGTGATTAAATATCTGCCAGTAATGGAAAAGTCCACTTGCTCAAACTTCTCATCCTTTTGTTATTTAAAAAGCTGTGTTTTTAGTTTAGATCTATTCCATTGCTTACTGTTGTAACACTTATGAGGACTCTGTATGCCCATGGGGATTCATCCAACTTTTTAAACTGGACCTACCCTTCTCAGTTTATGCTATTTTTCTAGTAAACAGAACCCTTTAGCTTCTTCTAAACTCTTCACAGCTTCATACTATACATAAGTCTCATCAAAAATGCCGACTGTGCACTGAAAAGCAGCAGCACACTTTTCTGATGAAGGTGACTATCCCTCCTGTCCCTCAGTACTACACCAAAAGAGCCCATTATGTGATCAGGGCAAAGAATTGTTAGTGCTCCGAGAGCAACATCAGAAAGGAATGCTTCCATCATCATTCATGAGGAAGGAGGAATGTTTCAAAATTAGTATAAAGGAGGATCTATTTTTAGAGAAATATTTAAAGTCTTTTTGTGATGTATTTAAAGGTTTCACACATTGAGTTAGCAATACGAAGCACATGAGTTACTCCTATTTTTCAGAAGACTTACATTTTATCAAACAGTAGGCATGGTACTTTGTGCAACTCAATGCAGCGCATACAACTGATTTTTAAAACTCAGAAGTAAGAAAGACTAAACGTATACAAAATATGTTATAGGAAATAACTGAAGTGATCTAATACTAACACACAAGAGGATGATTAAAGTACATCTAAGTTTATCTATAAATAGTTGTTCTGAGTTAATTTCAATATACAGAAAGCAAATGTAGTATTACTTAGCACAAACCAATGAAATAAGGGGTATTTTGCTTAACTTGGCCCTGAATTATTAGACACAAGCAGTTTGAAAGTAAAAAATAAATTACTGGAAACACAAGTTTGTGCAGAATGTCACAGATTTGTACATAAAAGGCAAAAAGGACTTGACCACACCACAGACTTGACCATTTTGTACCTGAAATGGACTCAAATAAAATAATGGTTTTATTGAGGCATTGCTAATTACCAAGTGTTAAACCTATGGAAGAGAAAAGGAACCAAAACAAAAGGAAGAGTAGCAGAGTGACATTTTATAAAGACAGGAAAACCTAACATTTAACTTACATCACAAATATCTAACCATTGCTAACACAACTGGCAATATTTGCTAAAAATGTGAACGTGTAAATCACTGGGGATACAGGCAAACCAAAAGCATTAATTTCTTTCCTCAGACTCTTTTATCATTTGTTTTGGGGACAAATACATGCTATGCAGTTTTGAAGATCACACGAGCCTGCTTCAAAAGATACCATGAGGGCCTAGGAAAAAGACAGAACTACAGCAGACATCAAACACTCATTTACATTTTAATGGCTAGAGCTCTTCACCTTTTGGGGACCCCAGTTTGCGATAAGAATTTAAGTTTCAGAATTCATATGGCACATCAGTAACTACTATTTGTAGTCTATTAATCAAGTTACAATGCAGCTGTTCATGATTTTATACAAGCACCGCATGCTTTCAAAAGCAAATCCAAGGCAGAGCTTCCATCAAGCCTGAAGGAACTGTTTCACAAAAACCCAAAAGACAGGGTACTTTGTAGAAGCAGTAGCATGACAGACATTTCTAAATCTGAAGAGAAGTATTGTTTTGGTTGGCGTATCATCTGTTTACAAAAGATTATGATAAAACGATGCATGTCTCCTACTACAATATCCTACATTTCTTAGAAAGTGTTTTACTAACATTTTTACCAATGCAAGATTTAAGGTTAATATAACTAAGTTACTTTCACCAGCATTTAAGAATTACAGATTAAAATAGACAGGAAATACGTGATCTTACCCAAAAATACAATCCCATAACAAATTACATTTCAGTAGCTAAAAGAATCCCCCTCACACTTGCAGAACTTGGGCAATATAATAGAGTGCTTACTGACTCTGAAGTCAGAGGATCTAACGTAGTTGCATACTGCATGAGTTCAAGGATTAAGGACCTTGTTTCTGTAACAGATTTGCTGGGAGCACGTCCAGTTCTTAACTAAGAGAGTCACACAGGGAGAGGTGAGAGTTATTCTATTATGGTTGGACTGGATGATCTTAAAGGTTTTTTCCAACCTAAACGATTCTATGATTCTATTGATGAACAAAAAGAATGCAGAGAAATATGAAAGAAATGTTCAATGAAAAAACCCCAGCCTAATTCAGTTTTTGTTAAACAAACTGGAAAGAACGTAGGAGTCTAGACACTGTGATCTCCTATCTCACCATGAACAGAACAAGGCTGCCACTGAGAAGTCATCTTAAAACAAATATGCTAGATTAATCACTGACCCAGCTAATTTATTATTCTATTCCAGAGCCTTAGTTTTCTGGATGTCAGCCAAAACCTGTCACATTTTCTGTGTTACCTGGTATAATAAGATACTGCTTCATCTATGAATCTTGTCACATGTTTTCAATGTTCTACTTTGATGGAGTGCTTTTAAATGATAAATATTTAAGAACAGTTTTATACAGAACAATTTCAAAACATATGTAATATAGGAATTAATTTTAAAGTACAGCATTTCTAATGGAGCAATTTATTTCTAAGGGAAACTTAGGAAAAATATTTCAGTACTGAATTTATTAAAGACACTTACAGAAATGCGGTCTGTTACCTGACTTATCACAAGAAGCTGTATTTGAAAAACACAAAAGACATCCTTGGCCATATTCACAAAAGCATTTCGTAGTTTTTTTATGATATTACAAAGAATAACATTCAGTTTCAGATTGAGATAATCTTGCTGAGGACTAGATTTTTTTCATCACTTGTCACTTCTTTGCTTTCTCAGTATCTATAAATATATTCCATATGTAATGATTCTCACATTTTAGGCACACAGGTGTATTCAGCAACTATTTGTAGCTAAAAATTACATAACCAGTAATTTTGATAGAAATTTTGATACAGAAGGAACACAGAATATTGCATTTAGTAACCATAAGCAACGCGCAGGTTTTTCCAACTGTGTAACTTCCTTACTGTGTAACTTTTACAAACCTTTATTAATTAAACAGATTTTAATCCTTAACTATTTTAAGATGTGAATCTCATTATAAAAAAAAAAAACCACTGTTCATCCTTTGGCCAAATAAAATATAATCCAGAAGTAGTCCATGACAAATCGAGCGTGTAGGCGTAAATCAAGTGACAAAACAATTTGCACAGGTACTTAAAGGTGAAGGCTTCATGGTCAGATACAGAAGTAACACATACTAGTCCAAGAAATTCTAATACATACAGTCTTGCAATTTGTGGTGCCATTTTGTGTATATACTGGGGAAAAAAAAAACCCCAACAAAATCCCAGCAGAAGCTATGGGAAAGGAATCGGAGTTATTTGCAATGAGACATTGTCAATGACAGGCTACACAGTTCAATGAAGCCTACAAAGACAATGCCTCAAAAGCAGCAGCACGACCTTCAGGCAACCTAACTTCACTTGGATGTTTGCTACAGAAAAGTGGAAATAAAAACACTTCTTGAATGTTAATGTCTTAAGATGGAGATACTAAATACTGCTTCTGGTAGAAGTTAAAATCAAAGGGAAAAATCTAAGTGTTCTGAGATTAATACTAATGTGAGGACAAATACCAGCTGGAAGAACATATTCTACTGCTTTTTAAAATTTCTAAATATTCTCTTAAAATTTATCCCATCTTCCAACCTGTTCTAATACCCTAGCAGTAAAATTGGTCAAGATAAATTTAGATTGGGTAACTGCAGAAATTGCTGATGAAAAGGCAAAAGAGATCTTTAAGTGCACTAGTCAGTCCTTTTTTCTTCTGACTGTACCAAAGAAGAACTGGTAGGCAAAATGGAGAACCTACTGAAAAACCACTGAAATTTATTCAGTCATTTTAAAAAGCAAGCCATATTGATTAATAGAATGTAAATCTTTGAGCAGGTTTAGATAACCAAGGATTGAAAGAAAAAAAAAAAAGAATCTGTAAAATTTTCAAGTTTTTCCTTTTGTACTGTGAGCTTTCGGAACATGTTTCATGGTGTGGACGCAGCAGAAATGGAGGGCCAGCCCCTTTTAGGACCTACAGATGAAGATAACTGAGGTCATAATGCAGGCTGGAGTCAGGCTAACAGGCTGACCTTTTCCTTCAAACCTGTAGCTCAAAAGAGCGCTTAACTGTTACAAATTCACAACCATAAAGAAGCTAAGTGAATGGGCAACAACAGTTGGGAATGCTTTTACATTTGCTAAATTTGAATGGTCATGGAGATAATATGGACTCCTGGGCTAACAAAGTTAATCTCCTCACGCCCCCGTAGTAGGACAAATCATTTAAACCATTCTTGTTTCGGCATTTTAAACAGTGGGAAAGAGAAAATAGCTTTGCTCTGGTCTTGCAGTCAATTAACTGAAACATGTGCGGGTAGAGGTAGCAGCAGAGGATCTAAAGCAGCAAAACATGTTAATTGTAACCTTTTTTTTTTTTTACTTGTTTGTCAGTCAGCCTTCAAACAGGGAGTTATTAATACTGGCCATGGTAGATGGAGGTGTGCTGTTTGTGCACTTTTATAAGTCTATAGCTAGTTTAGCCTTTCTTCTTTATGTCCAACTATATCCAAAGTACAGTATTAGGATCTTCATTACGGGGGGTGGGGGAGAAATCAAAGTACTGCTATCACCTAAGCTCTTCCCCCATTTATGAGAAAATTCCAGTTTTAAATTTCTCGCAGATGTTTTTTCCGCAGCTTCCTCCCACCACACCCTGATGGTACTGAATTTTGTTTTACACTACTGTATTCCATTCACTTTAGTTGACTGTCATTATCCACTGACACAACAATTACACTGCAGGATCTGTGAAAAGAAAGTATTTCCATAAGCGCACAACATAATTCCATCTATCAATTATCGGAGACCAGTTCCGTCAGTCGCAGGTCAATGCAACTTTCCTGATATAATACACGAAATTTATGACTACTTGTAGTAGTACTTAAAAGCACATTTTGTCATTCAGCTGTGACACTATTTCATATTTGAAAGAACAGTAGTGGCTTTACTTACCCTGGACTTGAGGGAACCTTCCCAATTTTCATCCACATACCTCTAGGACAGCTCCTGCATAAAGCTGTAATAAACAAACACAAGCTGTTAATGACATCAAAAATCAGAATTACTAGTTTACTTATGGTGTTTTACCTGTTGAACTATTTTTCTTTGAGGAGACAGCATGCTATTGTGTTGATGGTAACTACAGACAAGTAAGATCCTAAATAGAATCACAGTTCCAGACCTGTCTCTGATTTATGCAGCAATTGACTGTTCACTCAAGATACATGATAATTTCCATTCATTCCACTAAAAACGTAAAACCAGGAAAAAAGATCATTTGAGATCTACTGTTGCTGGAAGCAAAGCTTCATTTAAAAAAAAAAAAAAAAAGGAGCAATCGGACATGTTACAATGGGAATTATGGACTAGTAATAGGAAAACTTTATTTCTCCCTCCCCAAAGATGCTAAGAAGGTCTCATTAAGTGAAATTTTTGTTTCCATGTTAAACCTAACTTGGACAGTGAAATACTGTTTATAATAAAGATAATGCAGTGACTTTGGACTTCTCATTTGGGCTAACTATTAGTAGTTTATTGTAGTTAATTATGACTGCAGAAAGAGGACAGATCACATTAATAGGCCTTAGCTGAAGTAATATATACAGGCTGGACTAACTTTGGTGCTTGCACTTAGATGTCAATCACTTCTGTCAGCTATGCAAGATACTCGGAATCAAGATACTCGGAATCAATGTTCTTAAAGCAAAGTTTAAGTTCATTTCAATTTTATGTAGTATCTAAAAAAAAAAACCTTATTGATCTTGTATACTGTCACGTTTTTAAAACTTTTTGGTTTTTTTCTGGCAACATGCAATTGATTCTATAGTTTGCTGAATCTTAAATATAAATTAACAACAGATTTTTCTGGCTACTAAAATAGAAAGAACTTCATACTGTAAAGTTAGGCATTTTAATCTTGCACATTAGTTGTCAATACTGTATACCAAATCACGTCCTTCTAACCCTGAAACCCCACTGTTTATAGAGAAGCTGACAGAGTAAGCTTCAGTTAAAAAATTTTAATTCAATTCATTGCCTTCTATAAACAATTAAGACCTCTGCTTTCATTTTCTTTTAGACTGTATTTTCATAACAAATGTGCAAGTCTGGACATGGAAAAAATATAACCTTACTGAAACGAAGCAAATTCACATTTCACTTAAAATATGAACTGTGAATACATGTAATCAAGAATAAGCTTTCGCTATGAAATTTAATGAGTACTAACCCCTCTGAAAAAGGAGTGACAAGTCACAGAAGCAAACCACAGGTAATACAACAAAAGTCTCAAAGACAATTTTATTAACCCTTTGTCACCTATCTATGTAGGCATTATGGACAGCCCGGAATACATCTTCATTTCAGAATATTAATCTTCTGAATTCAGGTCCAACTCAGTATTTGCCTAAAGACTACAAATTACAACATAAGAAATACTAATCATTTGCAGGGAAATCACAACTTCTTTCCTGATGTGAACTAATCAGTAATCATTACTTCCACAGGAAACAGAACTAAAAATGTTACATTGCATTATCTGTTCAGAACAGCATCTCAGAAGCTTGCTTAATTACATTTACATTTTCAACTAGACATTAGATTTAAGATAAAAACTAAGATTTGACTGTTAAACCCCAGAATTGCTATGAAACAATACTTGAGAGATCAAAAATACCAGATTTTTTGAAAGCTTTTTTTCACCACCCAAATAAAGATTTTAATTAAAAAAGGCACTGATAAACAGCTCAGATATTACCTTGCATAATTAAAGTTCCTCTGGACTTAAAACATGAAATAATTACAAAGATGGAGGAAACATGGAATAGTGAGATTATAAACTTCACTTACCTTGTCTCTATTCACTAGTCTTTAAAAAACATTCAGCAACAATTATATCAGCAATGCTAGATTTAGATATTAGTTTGCACGCTCACTAATACACTGAACATTTACACCGATTCTCCAATACTGACAGTTATCTGCATTTTTCTATCAAGAAGTTAATATAAAGAAGCAGACAAAGGAACAAACAGCCTTTTTCTCTCTAGTTAACTGATTATTTTATGTATGTATATAAAGAACTAAGTACACCCAAATTTAGGACAACAGTAAAATGAGTATTTTTCAATTCTCATTACTGCAAGTAATTCTTACAGTTTATTTCTTCCTTTCAAACAAGGATTTCTATGGAACAAGATCAGTGTAGGCATCTAAAATATGTAAGACATCTTGTAATTACAAACTACTCCCAGTTTGTAACTCCTAGCCAGTATCTTATAGAAGTTTAACAAAGAAAACAGCTCAATCATTGATGTCTATATTTTGAGCTTATAACTCTGCTCTAATTGAAGCCCAACTGTGCTGGCAGAAAAAAGTTGAGATTCATGCTGGGACAAACAGCTGCTCTCTAGATGGCTAGACAAGAAAAAAAGAAAAGTCAATTGGATTCATTTATAACTCTAAACAAAGGTGTCTTTTGCATGAAACACAGGTTTATTTGCATCACTTAGCCCACAACAAAAGCATACTTGTTGATATCTACTGCTGCTACCATCCCATCACGTCCAAAGCAGACGTCCTCCAAACTTCCTTGTGAAGGCATTTACTGTGCTCAAGTATTACTAAGAATGACATGTATCACTCAGTGTGGAGGCATACAAACATGACGAGCCAGTTCATTACACAACGCTTAACTCATAAGTTAGTCCATTTTAAAATAATGCTTCACTTGTTTTAGTGCTCATGAAAGTGAGTTTAGTACTATAAGCAATGAAATAAAGACTCTCTAAACTATTACTAGTGTCCATTTTAACATCCAAAACAAGCGCTCTTATGATTTCCAGGCTGATTCATGTCTGCATCTATAAAAATAACTTAGCTTCTTTTAAAACATTCTAACAGTATGCTTTCTAAGGCTATTGTGACAAAATCTGAACTTCTCCCTCATCTTTTACAAAGCACCAACTTGAGTTAAATTCCATTCAAAAGCTTTTTGTAAGCACCTGAATGTCTTGTAATAGTTCACACTGATGTAATGAAGATGGCTCTTCACATCTGAGAGGAGGAAAACCACACTATCAGTCCTGCCTGCTTTAATGATGAAGGAAAGTGGTAATTATAACAGAATAAACCACCATTTACGTAAGAATAGTTAGATAAAAATATGTATTGTAAAAATAATTGTTCCAGCAGTTAAAACCAAGGAACCTTAACTTAGGTGAAAGAAGACATTTCACCTGTTACTAGGAAGGGAACTGAAGTAATTTCTGCAAGACAAAATTCCAGCAGTGCTTCATTTATAAATGGATACGGTATTGTTACCACAATTACTGATGGTGAGAACACCAGAAGAAAAATTACATT